TAAGTCTATTCATCCACGTTTGACCTACTATCTCCAATGTTGAACTATTGAAAAAACTTTTGTTATCGTATTTTATTTCTCTTACTACTAACAATACACCTGTCCTCCTACTATGAACTTATACTTCTATTTATTTTGTGTAGTGACGTAATCTATTTCATTGTGATTATTGACTCATCCTAGATTGCCCTGATTGGTTTAACATATTCATGTATGTTAGAGTAAAGCCTGATGAAGATTTCATTGATGACAATATTATTCGCTTATGTGCTGGTCTAAGATTCACAATGGGAATCTTTAAATCATAATAATAATAATAATATTTTTGTAATAGAATAGAGTAGAGTAGAAATTTGTATTTTTAACATTTTGTGATTTAATGCAACTGATTTCTTCAAAGTAAATAAATAAATAAAGTAAATTAGCACAAGTTTAAATAGTTAAAAAAAGAAACAAAGCACAATATTTCAACTATAATCAAACTACTAACAGGTTTGAACATTTCACTGTCAGATTAAATTGTCGATCAAGCTGATTCTGTATGAGACAATTAAAGTATTTATTTGTCTGTATATTTGTTGGCTTGAATTATTTCTTCTGGTTAGTGTTTTTTTGGCGAGTTAGTTTTTTGACGGGATGGGGTCGCCAACCCCATGCCCAACCCTCCTCCTTTATCCGGGCTTGGGACCGGCAGTAGCCCTGAAGGGTCTACAGGCGCGGATTGGCAAAGCAAGGGCTGCATTTCTACAGTTGAAAAATATTTGGAACTCCAAACAACTTTCAATCAAAACAAAAATCAGGATTTTCAATACGAATGTCAGGACAGTTATTCTGTATGGAGAAGAAGCTTGGAGAACTACCAAAGCCATCATCCAGAAGATACAGGTATTCCTTATCAGTTGTCTACGCAAAATACTTCGTATTCATTGGCCAGACACCATCAGCAACAATGTACTGTGGGAGAGAACAAACCACATTCCAGTGGACGAGGAAATTAGGAATAAGCGGTGGAAGGGAATAGGACACACGTTACGAAAAGCACCTAACTGCGTCACAAGACAAGCCCTCACATGGAACTCTCAAGGCAAAAGGAAAAGAGGAAAGCCAAGGAACACATTACGCCGAGAAATAGAGAAAGATATGAGAGGAATGAACAAACATTGGACAGAACTGGAGATGGAAGCCCAGGACAGAGTTTGTCGGAGGAAACTGGTGAGCGGCCTATGCTCCATTGGGGGTAACAGGCTTAAGTAAAGTAAGTATGTTTGTTGGTGGTGATGTTGATGGTGATACCTATTGTAAACTGCAGTTTTATTCTATATTTTTTATCAATTATAGTAATGAAGATTAGTGCTTGTACACATTAAAATCATCAGTCAATCAATCATTGTTATACCATCATTAGAAACCTGGAACCACTGGACGGCTGTTTCGTCCTGGTGTAGGACTCATCAGCAGTGCACATCCACGACTCCTGCATCTCTCAGGATACGAACCCACATCAGGACGAAACAGCCGTCCAGTGGTTCCAGGTTTCTAATGGTGGTCTAACACTGATTGATTGATTGGTTGATTGGTGATTTCAATGTATATTTTTGATGTCAGATTATAATTTTCAAAAATTAATATTCAGTCTTTATCAAATTTCTTCATTGATATTTTAATAAATACTTTATTTATAACACAATATTTACGTTTAAAATTCATTCAAATTAATCAGCTTTACTATAGTATAAATCAAGTGAAGTAAGATAAAAGTCTCTCATCGTCCTTTCATTAAATTCTCTTGCTTATAACCCGATAAAAATGTATATACATGTATCTATATATTAAGTTTAAAAAATATTTTAAAGTGTCCTCATTAGAACAACATATATAAGCGAACAATATGGGACTCGTTAAGTTTTCCTATTGTTAATTACAATAATATAATTCTTTTCCAATAATATTTAGAAAATTTCAAAAAACCATGGATACTAACAGATCAAGTGTTTGTTTAAGTTAGTCTGATAGATTTAGGTTAAAAAAAGAATCGTAAGCCACCTAAAAAACAACAAAAATATAACTGAACCATGTTATCTGAAGAATAAGCCACTACTAGGAATGAATGGTTGAACATAAGTATAGACAGACTGACTGCTCATAATTCAAATTTCCAACTAGGATAATATATCTCTGAACTGTAAATGAGTGATTCTGATTTCATATGAATCTCATACAATGTTTGAGAATCACTTCTAATTATACAATATCGCTCGATCGATCACCTTCTTGATCAATCCAGTTAAATTAGGGAGGCTTCAGCACCGTCAAATCGTTGTCTATTTTATTACGTAATAATCTAACAGTATTTCGTGTGGAGGTAAGATGGTAATGTTATCAGTAGGACTGATGGGCGGATGTCAATTTTATTGACTTTATTGGTTGATCTGCAGGATCAGTATCGCATTATCAATCATATTTTAACTAATTATTTCAGTACTAATCTCTCGTTATTGATTTATGGAAACTCTGATATAATATTAGATATATATGTAAGGTGATTAAGATGTGAAAGTTATCAGTAAACAAATGATACTAGGAAGTAGACCCAAGTCACCTGAACAAAAATCATAATGAATTTAACAACAACCACGTTGACCATTTATAGACAATCATATTAAAGATACTTCAGAAAGGAGTAGGTGTTGGACAGAAAGAAATGAAAAATATATATGGGTCATACAGTGTTAATTTGTATATTTTTTAACATCTGTTTACAAACATTTGACCTGATTTATATTGTTTTAATTATGCGCTATATGTCAGTTGATTAGTTCAGTTAAATTACAGTTTAATAATGTCAGACCTATTACTCAGCTTTGTATCAGAAATGACGTAGTCAAACACTGAATATCTTTAGTATGTATTGGTTTTGTTTTCTACGCTAAAATCACATGAGTTTTGAGTTTAAATGGTATAAAATATTTACAGTTGCTCATCTGATTTTCTGATTGAAAGTTTTGTAATGCAGAAAATTATGTGACTCATCAGTTAGATAGTTGTGCCAACAGTTATTTTCTGTCGTAGGCAAGATAAGTAGTGAATTATTTAAAAGAAATCTGAAATTTAACGTGAATCTTCAGTAACAAGGTATTATTGTCGTGACACAACACTAATGATCGTTGTGTTGACAAAGCTCACTTTGAACCCTTAGATTAACTCAATAGACATCAGGAAACAGTTTGCATCCAAATTTTTAAAAGTCACTAGGAAAAGTGAATTTTAAAATGTATTTTTTAGATTCTCATTATTCTTCATAGAAAGATCAATGCATTTATCAGTTACTATAGAGACCTGCATGGAGATTTTTCTTTCAATTTCATAGTTGACAACATGAAATGGTTTTAGTTAAACAACCACTGAAGCAATGGGTAGCCGTTTCTGATTAGTTTGAAACTCCTCAGAAGTGAACATCCATGACCCCAGAGTCGGGGACCGAACTTAAGGCTTTTGATCTTGTGTGTAGACGTGTAAATTTTGCACTAGTGACCCAAGAACCGATAGTTTACTCGTTCAGTTTTGAATGATTCAGAATAACACGCAACTATCTTCCAATGCACTTGACAGGTAAACTCGAAATGGCTAAACCATGCTGATCAAAGCACTTCTCTAGAACTTAGCGATTATATCTATCTATCTACCTAAGTTTCTGTGCATATTCTTTGAGTTTAAGATCCATGTTCTTTGCCTCATTTGCTTTTCCCATTTCATTTGTAATTTACAGATCTCTCTTTTTGCATAAGTTAGCTTAATTTTACTTTTCGTTAGCTGTAATAAATCTTGAGATTGTATAGAATAGATAGAATATGGCTGTCAGGGAAATCCAGAAGGGGCATTTCGTCCTACTTGAGACTCATCAGCTGGATGCACTTAGCTACCGAGTTCAATCAGCCACTAACTTATGAAACGGGTATGAGATTTAATTAAATTGTAAATGGCAGATAATCCAGACCACTTCAAATTGAATTATATCTTGTGATTGGTTACCTCCCAGGCTTTACGAAAGACCGTAATACTTTAAGACTTAGTTGTGATCATATGATCGCTTTGTATTCTGACAGTACGGAGCACTCACTTTATTTACTAGTTAGTTTTTCCTGTTTATAAACCATTCTTGTAGATCTCTGATTCATTGTGTATCCCTTGGATTTAGAGAATTTCCTCATAGGAAGCTGCAAACGTTTTGTAACATTTGGACGATTCATACTTTGACTGTAAGTTGAACAAATATCGATCAGCTAAATCATTTTTTTTTCCAATATTAGAGCATCCATCCACTTTTAATCATTAGACATTATTCGACTAAGGCGACTGGCTAAAATTTTATAAAAAAAATCTAAATTTATTCTACATATGAAAAATGTTCAGCACTATTTTTTCTTATAACATTATTCCACTCTATAAAATAATCTACAATCAATATTTGTTTCATGTATGTCTAAGCTATGAAAATCTAAAAAGCATTCGGAATATACATCTATCAGACATGTTTTTTTTTTCAATTTCCTTTCATTCTCACAATGTACATGAAGTGAAAGCTAATACATTTAACCTTGATTCTACCCTCATCAAACAAAACTTGTTCATTGAAATGAATGAAAGAACAGTCAGACTTTTCTATTTTGCTAGTAGTGTAAGTGAAACTATCTTTGTTTGTGTGTGTATGTGTATATAACTATACATGAAGAACTACAATGTCGAGAATGAAATAGTGTACACCTGATAAAAAATAATCAGTCTATGATGGAGTAAAATATGCACACACTCCGTGTGCATAATTGCATGCTCGATTTAGAAATTAGATAAGATTATTGGCATGGCTGTGTAAGATGTACACACAAATCTGAAGGCACACGATGGTTGTATTGTCCGTAAATAAATTTATTATATGTATGTATGTATGTGTGTGATCATAGAAAACGATTATCTTTTCAATAAAGTACACAAAGAACACAACACAGCCTAGAATTCCAATCTTAATGCATAACATATACTAGTGTACATCAATAACTCCAATATAATTTTACAGTATGACTCAACCCAGAAACAATAACAGGTAGGATGAGGTGGCAATATGGTCAACTTATTATCACATACTTTTAGTACGTGGATAAAAATTAACCAATTAGAATTCAGTTGGCAGATTATTGGTCGATTTGATAGTTTGGTGGATTTGACGGGTATAGATAGTTTCATGTGTTTGGCCTATAGATCACGAAGATTAGTTTTTTTAAGTATATATAGCAGTAGTTACTAGGTCGTTGTACCGTTACACATTTTTTGTGGTACTTGATTTAAATTCGACGTAATTATGGACAACTACAGGACGGAAATAAACATACCGATTTCAAGAGATAAGCGAACATTTGAACAGCGCCGAAAGGATATGCTCAGCAATCTTGAACGTAGTTACAGCAAACATTCAAGAACAAATATCATCAAGAATTCAGGTACAGAAACTTCTGTACCCCTTTCTGAATCGACTACAGTTGGGTCACATCGTAACGTCAGTGATTGGGATGATGAAGTTAATCGATGGATCAATGATACACGTAGCAAGTGGAGTGAAGATATGAAACGAATGCGGCAGTCCATGTTCGCTTTAGAAGTAAGACATCCAAATGTTTATTATGTCTTGTTTGATCAGAAACTCATACACAAACACGAACCAATTTTATGTCGATTAAGAGATTTGGATTGTTCCTTTTCAAAATAATCATTACAGAGATTTAAGTGAGAAATTGTTGGACTACTATTGGTTTGCAGAAAATTAATAGATATTCGTTTGATTTATAGTGATGGAAACCACTATGAATTTGTCTAATCTGTACTGTTAACTGGATTCTATCAGTTAAGCAGAACCATACGAAGGGAGTGATTATGATAGATTTTTGAGAATGGAAGATAGACAGGTGGATTAGGGGATTTCACGTTCTGCTTTTGTTTACAAACATTGGCACTTGAATATGTGATTCGCTTAAGCCTCTGTTGTACATAAGTCTATTTGGACCAAATCGTTTGACTATATGGTTAACTTTCAACAAGGTCTCTGTTAGGACAGTCTATGAGATGTTTCAGGATTGGAATATAGACTGATTTGAATAATCTTTTTGACAGTTATGTAGGGTGATACACGAAGATGCATTTGCAAAAAGCTTGCTTTGTATTATCGATACAACCTTTACACTATCAAGTAAACTTTAAAAAGTTATATTTACAAGTCAATACTTAGGAAGTGTTTGTATTTTCATAATACCCATTCTTATTTTGTAAAAAAAACTATTGGATGAATTTAAAAATGGCCTTCCAAATATCTGGTTCTCAGAGCAACGAACGTTCGATAAACAAATAGACATGGACTCAATTTAATAATTTGTCCTCTGTAGGATAAGTAAACAGTTCTCTTTTATAGCGTGAAGTAGGTGCTGATTATAACGTCCAGAAGGACAATGAAAGCTTCGCAAAAGGCTTGACATCAACTAAGTATCACAAGGAACTGTAATTGGAGAACTAATAGTTACTAATTATTTAATTTATACTTAGCCCTTATATTGTAATACTGAATTTAATCATTTTTTTTATTTAGTTTTCGTTAATTAGTCAGACAAATATCTAAAACAGTGATAACAAAGGTTGAATTTTTATTTAATAGTTCGTCCATACATAGCTCTCTCAGTTATATGAACATTTATTATTTAGGGGATTCTACAATTTATCAGTCTAATGGTCAATCTCTTTTCAAACACATTATGTTTGTTTGACCATATTATTCAACATCATACTTACATTAAATCTATCCTTAAAAATTTCTCATTTTGCGTAACGCCCATTTCATGTAGGGTCAGTAAAGATGTGTATCAATAAAATTAAAAATAAAATGCGGTCTAAATTGAAATATTGAATTTATTTTTTAACGTGTTATCATTAACCACTCATTTGCATGAAATATCAACATTGAACATGAGAATTAATGAATAAATTTATTTATAATGGGTTGTATCAAGCGACTGTTTTTTTTTTAAATATGAAAGCAACTTTTGATTATTTTGTAATTGCAAATGACAATTCACAATAGGTGATATAACTTAGGATTTATTTGTATTAAATAAAAACTATGATTCCTTTATTCTTTCTCTAAATATGTTGAGTTCTACTAAATGATTTTCAATCTTCGGTTTCACTTGTGTTTTTTTTTCCTAAAACCATACCGTATATACTTGCTTCCACTGTTTTGGATACTATTATTGACATCGACTAATTTGAGCTAGTTCATCCATCATAGACAAGACAGAACTTGGCATATATGTACATTGATTCAAGTTGCCGCATCATATAAGTGTAGTGAGATGAAAGTATACAGGAAAATGGTAGCGTTAGCGAAGCAAAAACAGCATAAGCGATGATAGATAACATAGGAAATAGACGCGATGATTTATTACGAAAAGATTTGACGAATAGAAGGAAAAAGATAAATATAAAGCTGAAAATCTAAGAGAAGAAAAAAAAGAATTCTTTTGAGCTATTGGGGTCGATTCTCGGTCATACTATTCGATACCAACCACTATTTACAGTAATTGAATGAGACCCCGCCAGGTATCATTCGCATAACAATATGGCTTAGGCTAATGGTCATTTATTTTATAGATTGATACCGTGTTTTGATTTGACAATCGCTTGCTGGCTTTCATCCTACTTCCTCACTGGTAAACATCACGTGTTAAGGTGGTAGGCCGCAGGTGGGCATTTGTAATACATATCTCAAACAACTGATTTTATGGAGGTTAACTGCTTCATCAACCGTTATTTTAATACACTTGTCAATAACATGAAATAACATCAAGATTAATTATCCATTTAGTTACAGATATTTATAGCAACCAGACCAAAACATGGGACAAATCCATGAAGTCATTGACAACTAGACATCCATGTTAGTAGATGTAAACTACCTGGTTGGGGTCCGCCAGGCAATAGTAACCGATGGTTAGAGACTGTGGATGACATGGTTCAAAATCGATCGCAGTAGAGCAGGTGCATCCATTCTTTGTGTTCTTACAAAGTGTAGTCTTCTGAATTCCTCTTGACCGCTTTTTTCTTTTTTAAATTTATTTCACTGGATTATACTTCTTGAATTATATCTTCGAACCCTAATCTTCTCCATTACCGCCAATACTTCTAGTACCTCTACTACTATGAGATTTGAATTGACAATCCGATCTCTGTGTGCCTATGTGGTGTGGTGACTTGAACTGATGTAAGCACGTACGGAGCTCTACGGTGCAACTGGCTGATTGACAAATAATTACTCCTAAAATGGAAGGATACTAAATAGTGAATAAGTTCCTATCATTCAATTGTTAGATTAAACGTATTTTAAATTAATCATGATCAACTATTTAACTTTGTTTTATGCCAGGCCTATTTCGATCAGTGCTGTTCGCAGCTACTATGTGTTAGGTTCGTCACCAAGTATGCTTGAAACCATTACGCGTTCACCTTAGTCGATAACCTAGAACGAGACAATGAACCAGCGTCTAGGTAGGCTACCCTGAATAGTTGACTAATGAAAAGTCTTGATATAGCGTTTATGATAAATCTTAGTTTATTAATTTTTTTATTTCAGTAACAATAAACTGTTTGAATATATGACGTAGTTGTTTTTTTGATAAATTTCTTCTTATTCATTGATATAAACAATAAATTTGCTGTCACTTTATGCCCTAAATTAATCAATCAGTGATCCTAGCAGGCAGTTTACTGATTGAATGGGGATATAATATCCAGGGTAATTATGAGTCAGTATTTTTAAAATATTTACGGATATTTATTGAATGTTTTAAGTATAATAACTGATAAAATCTGAGTAGTTATTGATTTGAATTTTAATTCGACAAAATGAACATCTCGCATTGTAAGTCGTTTAACTTAAATGCATTTATATATAACTAGTTATCAGTGTTCCAGTTAAATTGGTGATTTCAAAGATTTTCAGTATTAAATAGATGGCTTGTATATGGAAGTAGGTTAATATTTGCCTACCAATTAACTCTAATCCCAATCTATCTAAAAACTATTAAGTATGAACATTTTTGGATCATTTGGATCATTTTCAGATTTATGCTGCTGATATATTAAAAATATATACGTCACATACTAGTATCTTTTTACTATTTTACCTAAATACTATATCCACAAGTTCTAATAACTTGGGTCTTTATTGGCATGAATTAAATATAACCAGTAGAGAAGCTAGAAATTTCTGGGACATATTAATCATGTTTAGGTTTAATATTAGTGCAGTTTTTTATTATTGGCACATTAGCCTGGTTAATTGAGGCTTAACATGTCGACTGCGAACTGTGACATTTAGTGGCCTGACTGGAAGTAAACTTACTATTCTGAACATTTCGGTATTTCAGTGGTGTAGGAATTAATCTATTTGATAATTTTTTTTGATGTTTAATACTAATTTTTATAGATGAGTTTCATTAAAGTCATGAACCGATCAGTGTTAGACCATTGTTGAGAGTCTGGAGGCAATGGACTATATGTTTTATAATTTCTATACTTAAACCGAAATGTCCTTACTACTGAAATATCGAAATGCTTCATATTCTATTTATTACATGATTTCCTAATTTGTGCAGTTGGTTCATGAAATATTAGCTTTGAATCTTGCTTGTAAAATAGTGTGCAAGCACATAAATACCCTTTATTGTATGTTGAGAATGAATAATTTTGGTTAATTGTTGAGCCTTAGATACTAGTTAGCATAAACTACTAAGAGCAGGACATTTTGAAGATCAAGTACGTTTGTTACTCCTCGTGCAACATAAACCATCAACCATGATACTTCAGCATACTTGTTCATGAGTTCTCCTTTCCGGTTGTTGCAAAGCCCTATTGATTCTTTTGATGTTTGCCTCCTACCATGTGTTGCTTAGTCTACCTATTTCTCTTCTTACCTTGATGATTCTAAGTTACAGCTTGCTTTGTGATACCATTTGATGAGTTTCACAATTTACGTCCTTTCCACCTCCAGCTCTCTTCAATCCGTAAAGGATCCATTTGTGTCAACAAAAACTCATGGTGTCTAGCGCTATGTCACGCCAATATAGGTTATTTAAGCCTTTGGACAGACCAGTTAATTTATTCTACAATTCTACACATTTTAACCTTGTCAATCATTTGCTCGTAACCTTAACTGTTTTTTTATGAGCGTATGTGTGTGCATCGCTTACTTCATTTAACACATGTATTTAGTTTGTTTGACTAAATAAAGAGTCAAGGTTTATCAAATGAGTTAGCATGTTTATTTTATCCAATCCTCGCTACTTTGTTCTGTTGCTTCTCATTTTTAATGTCTGTCTGAGTGAATCTGTAGTTGGATGCTTAATACCTCCATCGCTCTAACGAGTTTAGTCTACGTGTAATATCGGGGACTAAACGGAAGATTTATTTTCATGTCATGTACAATCGTTCGTCCAAATGAGAGTAAGATCTCGGGCCACTAAAGACTTGGATATTGCCAAAGGAATAATTCAAACACGTTACTGCTGATACGAACAGCATGACTGTTAAACAAGTTAGTGGCTGTCTGGGCACAGTAGGTCAGTGGATAAAACCTTGACGTTCTGAGCGATAGATACTGGGATCGAGTCCTAATGTGAACATCAACATTGGGAGGCAAGTTCATTCTTCTGATGGTTTTACTACACTTCACAGTCAACCTGTCCTAAAACCTCATCGTGTCTCAAGCATGACGCTTTCTAGCTAACACTTGACTTCAACTGGTAATATTTGCAAATCCAGTTAATTTTTAATTTACCTTGAGTCTTCAACAAGATGCATATATGATGTGAATACATTTTGTATTTTAAAAACTTCTTGAGATATGACTTGTACATATCGAGTGACTTTTCAGGTTATTTGAACAGCGTTTCATATGAACGACTACACAGTGTTTTGTTGTGTTAACACCTTCAAAAGCTTCAACAATCATGAATCTGTATACATACCCTTTTTTTAATTCATCTGGCTTTACCTTAGAGTGTAACAAAATTATTAATTATAGAACAGTTCACTATGACAATAAAGGTTATTTAGTTTCAACTATTTTTTATATTTTTTAATTATTGTATAATATTCATGCTATGAACTATTTGCTGTCAAAAGGACTAAACCGTTATTAGCATTAGTAACCCTGGATATGAATGGATCGAAATAAGGCATTGAGAATGCTTTATTACGCGATGCAAATTTGAGTGAATATAGAATGATTGATGATTAATGTTACTTAGTCGATAAAAGTCAAACTACTCAATGATTAACTGTAAAAATGACTTAATCATTAGTGATGAAATTTTTTATCATACTATATATATCTATGGTAGATATTACAATATAAATTCGAATCAATGAGAGAAGCCATAACCCATGTTTGGAAGTATGGTTCGAAGTTAGTCTCAGATCGTGCAGATATATCTATGCATATCTCAAAGTTTAACGCCAAGTAGTTATTCTTGTTTTTACCTTTCCCACATCGTTCTGTACAGAATTAGTTCAACTTTTATTTCATCCAGTTAATAGCCTGTTACTACTTAACTGAAGCAAACTAAGTGTAACAATTTGATGAAATGTATATTTTCGCTAAGTTTCATGTTATTTGATTGTTGATCGATTGAACTGAAACTACCATGTGATTGAGTATTAACGTTATTGACACAAACTATAGAACAATGCTATCAATCGATAATTAAATTAATGAAATTCATTATGAGTTGTTGAAATGTTTGAATAAATTAGTTCTGATCATTATTTTTTTTATGCTGCTATCACATTGTTTGCATTCAATTAATTGTATCCCTATGTGATTTTCAATGTCATTTTGATTCTAGAACTTCATTTAGACGATTTGAAATTTGGTTTAATCACTCAATTAACTAGATTGATGAAACCCCAGAGAGAAACTTTACATCCAGCTAGAGTCATATAGAATGAACTCATCCACTCACTGATTTAGTATTCAAAGGTTGATATCTTCCAATATTTTGTTGATCTGCATAATATATTAGAATAATAATTTATTGGAATATACTACTGAAAAGTCCCAAATTACAATAAGATGTGTTTATCCAATAGTCCGTGCAATTATGTATTTCTTCATCTACTTAAAATATCTTCATCCTATATAGAGATTTAAAAGATATGACTCATTTTTTTAATGTCATTATTCACCATATTACATGATAAAATCAATTTACAGGAGTATCTCTGCTTATTATTTTCAAAAGTTTCTATAAATATCCATTAGATTGCATAAATTGTCCCTTTTTTGTTAGATTGTTACACTTCTATCAAATTATAATTAGATTAGAAAAACAATTTAGTTTGAATGTGCATAAGTCTATATAGATAGATATTTCGAATTAAATCTATTCTAGTTATTAAGACAAAGATATTAGTGTATTAAAACACTTGCACTTTTTGATTACTGAGTTTTTATTTTTTGTTGGTAAAAACGAATAGTTTGAAATTATGATGTGAATAGAATTCTATTGGTTGATTAAACTGCAAACTATTTTATGATCATAGTATTTTCTTATTTAAATTAATTGAAATACACAAGATTATGTTCATGTTTCGTTTGTTTAAATAGAAAATGGTTAGTGTAATCCTAATTTTGCTTTATTATTATTCTTGAAATCAATGTTGATTTTTAAAATAAAGTTTCCTGTTAACTATGCAGACAAATTTCATTTTTGAGTCGATATCAAATTGAAAACCCTTGAGACTGTTGTTTAAAACTCTTCATCATTATATACATTGATCATCGTCATCACACAAGGTGGAAAGTAGGACAGTTGCATCTTTCACTTGTTCAATGTTTCAATACTGGTTATAATTTTGAAATGATCTAAATTCATCATGAAACTATGTTCTAATTCGTAGTTTACGGAAATTTATGTAGGCTCAATACCCAACACAAATTAATTTCAATGGAGGTACGTTGTAAACCGTGAAAGATTGGACAGTTGTTTCATTCCAGTATTGAACTTCTGATCAATACACATATTCATGATTCTATCAGAGATCTAACTCAACACCTTCAGCTTTTATTGCAAATACTTAACTTTATATGTTGAATATCATTATTATTACTTGAATAATCAGAAAATCATTTAATCTATTTAAGTTAGTTTCCACATAAATCGTTTGTTTAAATAGTTCATTGTTGATTTCAATATTCAATGCTTCTATGATTAACAAAGAGTTAGATCTCAGTAAAATGAATAGATTTAAAAGAAAATTTTACAACAACCACTTTTTGAATCAATAAAGCTGTGCTCTGTGTTCATGGTTTCTCAATGAACCAATTACATTTAGTAGAAGCACTAACAAGGGTTTAAGTATTTTAGAAGTTGCCATAAACCTTAAAATCAATATGAATTCAAATGTCAAGATTGTAACGAGTATCAGTCTCACAATTTCAAAATGAAAATCAAGACATTGTACTGTATTCAATATAGTTCATATGTCTCATTAACTCATTTTCTTATCTTTTGTATTTTAGCCTGTTGATGATTTTGATCTTGATCATTGGGGTAATTTTGAACCGATTCATTCATTGGATGATCCATCAACTATGATGGAACAAATGGAACGTCGAATGGAATCATTACGACAAAAAATGGGAACTATGTCTGGTTTTGGTCCATCGCATTTTTCTGGTCCTAATACTTCAAGTATGCAAACATCCAGTTCACGTATCACATCATCCACATCACATAGTAGTGGTAGTGATCCAAAAAATATGGTAACTAAAAGTAATGTTGTCGAATCAACACAACATACACGTACTGTAGACGGAGAGACAACAACAACTTCAAGTCATTCAAGTTCATCGTCTAATACATCAGGATTACCAGGAAGTAAAATTAATATCACTAATACACCAGGAAGTTTAATTCAACAAACAAGTATCCCATGTGGTATGATGGATTTTCTCAAAGATGCCTATGAATTAGGTGATGATGGAAAGGTAAGATAAAAAATTTATGAAATTCGTTTTGTTTTTCTTTCGCTCATAAGTTTTCATTTCAAATGAAATCTTACAAGGCAGGCAGTTAGATAGTGTTTTAAGTGTTGCTGATACTTTTTGTTCAAAATTAAATCTTTATGTATAATGATAAAAACATTGTTTTGAGAGTGAATAACTTGCTAAGAATAAGTTAAATATAATTATCATATAACTGAAGTGTTTGTATAAATCATTTCAAGATATTTAACATTATATATGGTTATAGACTACTTAATTGGGGTCAGTGAGACAATCGTAACCGGTGGTTAGAGACTTTGAATGACTTGCCTGCAGAGTCGCGGGTGCATCGATTCTTTGCCTTCTCTTAAATTCTAATCTTGTAAACTCTTCATGACCACTTTTCCCTTCACAAATTTACTCCACTGGATTATACTTCTCGAATAATATCTTCGGAACCTAATCTTCCTCATAACCGTTAATACTTCTAGTACATCTACTACTGTGGGATTTGAATTGACAATATGATCTCTGTGTGCTAATGTGGTATGGCAACCTGAACTGATGTACGCACGTATGGAGTTCAGCGTTGTAACTGACTGAATGAACTACCATTATTTTGTCCTCAACTAAATTGTTATCATCATATATAAGATTTAATTTACCGGCCTGTTTCATTCTTTGAAATATCAATAAAAGCTCTAGTTTATAGCGGGAGATTATTTTTATCAAAAAACTCTTTCCATTTATATTTACTTTTGACTGAAATTTTTCATAAGCGCAGTGATTAGAGCATTATGAAATATAAGTTCAAGGTTTCTTGTTTATTTATTATATTCAATATATTCAACATAATTAAAATTTATGTGGTTGTCAGTCATATTTCAAAAATGAATATCTAGTTTAAATAATCCATTAAACAAAAAAAAAAAAAACCAAGAAATACTAGCAATATATATAAATAAACAATACACTAATTATAATGTCATAATGTGATCAACAATTTATAATTGTGTTGAGTACAGTTTCTTCAAGTTTTTTTCAAAGAAAGAATTTTTCTACTATTGTTACAGAGTTCATGAGATTAGATTTATCACTTCCATAAAAAAATGTATTGTCATTTCGACCATTTATTGATTTTATCTAGGCAACACGAGACTGATTATTCCGTAAATCATTTGTTTATTATTATTTTGGCTAGGAATGAAGGATCAGTAGTTCTTAACAGACTACTTATTGAGATACAAATAATACAAACATAAAATTTTATACATTTTGTTGGGGATGTTAGATCCCCAGAACTCGCTTGATAAATATCTTTATTTTGGATTTGTTTCATGGACCGATCAGTTGACCTGTGGCTGTCATTGGTTACTGTGTCATTTTAGTGTGCTATTTTTGTGACTGTCCCAAGGATGTCTCTATGGCGTATAAATAAACGCGATTTGGGTGCTTAGATTCATTGTGTACTGGCTGGGTCTTTATAGAAATCTCTTTCTACTCTATATCAAGACTTCTTTCTGGTACAATTTGGACAATCGGATCACAGTAGCCTACCTGGACGCTGTTTCATTGTTTTGTTCTCGTTATTCGACTAACTAGAGACGAGCATAACACATTTATAATCCAATCTAAGTAGACACAGTGTACAAATTAAAGTCAACTGGAATGTAAGACAAATTTATAAGAATTTGCTTCACTGGTTTCTGCTTTTAAACAAAGATTATGAAGAATATAAACTTACAATCATCAATAAACGATTCAAAACTATTTTGATGTTTACCATTTTACATCGCATAAATTGAGATTGACTAAAACACTAAAGTGTGAAATTTAATTGAAAAGATTTCATTATCATTCTAGAGAATAAATATTACAAAGAAATGAACTATTTGAATGGAGAAGTGATAATTTAATCTAAAAAAAGATTATGAAAGCTTGCTATGTTTCATTATTCAACTCAAAGAATTTGACCTTATTGAAAATCTAAAATTCATTTTTTTTTTCATTGAACATTTTAATTTACTTTTTTCTAAAATGTGCTTATTCTATTTTCACAATAGATATATTGCTTTTTTACAGTTAGTGTGTTTCATAGTCAGTTGTATAGTGTGAAATAAAATTGAATTTCTATCATACTATATTGTTTATTAAGCTTTAAAGCATTTATTGTTTAGTATTATTATTTGGTTAAAAGTGTATTCAAAATTTTCTATGAACTTATAACCCTTCAGTTATTCTTTCCAACAATAATAATAATAATACATTTTTGAAACCATGAATCGATCAATGTTAGACCACCATTAGAAACCTGGAAGCACTGAAAGACGGCCGTTTCGTCCTGGTATAGGACTCCTCAGCAGTGCGCATCCACGACTCCTGCACCCCGCAGGATTCGAACCCAGGACCTTCGGTATTGTTGGCGAACGCCTTACCATCCAGGTTTCTAATGGTGGTCTAACATTGATCGATTCATGGTTTCAAAAATGTGTAACTTAACAATCTTCACAACCCCGTAATGCAAACAATAATAATAATAATAATAATAATAATAATAATAATAATCAATATTCAACTTCAAAATTTTTTAAATTTATTTTTAGAACACCATACTGACGTCATTCGTTTGATATTGATATTGTCTTCCTCTCCATTTTTTGTCAAGATTTTCAATAGTTTATTCATGTATAATTCTTATCATAGATAAAGTTACAATTTGGGGGTATAAAAATACATACTTAGACATCATACACATTTAGAAGGAGAGAAATAGGTGATCAAACAGTTAAGTATACATTATCAGCCAGCTGATTAAGTTACAATTAGGATTCTCTTGCACTAGTATTCATAATGTCATATTTTAATTCAATTGAATAGCTTAATAAAATGGAGTTTAACTTAACCCTATGATATATATATGGCAATCATTATTTGGAATTTTTGTAAGAAGAATGTTCATAAGAGAGAACTGATGTTAGGAATTTAAATTATATATATTTTCTATTGTTTTCAATTCACAGTGTGATAGATTCTTTTCTCTTTATTTTTTTAGATTTTCAATAAGTAAATCTTAACAGATTTTTTTAAAAACTCTATCTTCATTTTCTAAAACACCAGGAGGCTTAAAACATTGATGACTACTTTAACGAATCTATTTAATAACAACAAATTATCACAGCTTACAAAAGTGTAGGCAGTTGGATTTTGAAAATTTCCCATTCATTATATAGTGAAGGAGATTGTTGTTTTTCGTTGAAATCATGATACACTGTTAGATTACAATGAGAAGCCTGGGAGCTCTGAACGGTCGTTTCGTTCTAGTATGGGACTCTTCAGCAGTGCGCATCCTCGACCCGTGCTCTCGAGAATTTAACTAGGGACCTTCGACCTTGCGTGCGGACACTTAACCCCTAGACCACTGAGCCCGGCATCCATTGGTGTTAATGTCTAACACTGATCAATTTATAGTCCTAGGCTCGATCCCCGCGAGCGCGGGTCGTGTATGAGCACTGCTGAAGAGTCCCATTAAAGGACAAAATGGCCGTCAGTACTTCCAGGTCTCTAACGGTAGAGTAACACTGGAAAATCTCCATTATTAATTAGGATTTTAAATTTTAAATTAAGCAAAAAAGACGTTAATTGCATAATCCAATGAATCCGTTGTTTCATTACTTTCTCTCCATCTTCTTATTCAAGCTAATAAGTTTGGCCATTTTGAAGTGTTGGTATAAACTTCACATTATTACGTAATCTAGAAGTATTGTATTCAGTAATAACAGTCATGTTTTCGTTGATTTAGCCACTAAATTGTATGTATGTAGCAGGATGGAGTGATATTTATGTAGATAGCTTTCAATTGTTCACGGCTTCTTGTAAGTAAATCTTTAGTGAGTATTGTGAATAATAAAAGCTTCATTCTGATTGATTGTTGGGTACGTAGTCAAAATGGCAAACAACAGTGGAGTTTATCAGTCAGCCATTTTTAGTTAACACTAACATTTGAAACTAGTAAAAAAAATTGGTTTATCCAATAATAAAAGAATAAGGAATGCGAATATAATTAAGACGTGTATGTTTTGACAAGCTTTTAACAATGATTGATATGATATTTATGCCTAAGGTAATTTTCATTACGTAATGTAATCAAAATTGTCGGAGGATTAAAAAGAAAACACACGTGAGCTAAACTCATTAGATTATAATGAATGTTAGTTGAATACAAATATTTTATATAGAAGTCAAAGTACTTTAGGTTATCAAATTAGATGAAGGCTATTGTTTTGAATGCAAATTTAGTGTTCAAGTCTTTTAAATACTATGACTTGTCTAATTTTTGAAAAGGTGAAATACGGTTGTTTGTTGATTATTTTGAATGCATTGACTGCATCAATTCTACATCCTGTCTTAATTAGGTGTGATTTATTGTAAACTGCAAAAATCATTTTGTTATCTAATACGTAGATTCTTTAGAATATGTTATTTTGGGGCAGAGTTTTGGAGGTTTGTGTTTTTTTTGCACATTTGAAATCATCAATCAGTCATTGTTAGGTTTCTAATGGTGGTCTAACAATGATTGATTGATGATTTCAAGTGTGTAAAAACCCAAATTACCAAAACTCTGCCCCAAAATATCGTAACAATGCTCACTAGTGACTAGCTTCGTGAGGAAATTCTCGGAGTTCTAGTTGGGAAGACGTGACCAATGGAGTTCAACCCTGTCGGGTGTAGGCAGTAACTACCAAAGACAAATGGGTGAGGTCGCCCAAAATCCTTAGATCGATCAGAGTTAGACATTAACACCATTGGATGCCGGCCCAGTGGTCCGATGGTTAGGCGTTCGCGCACAATACCGAAGGTCCCGGGTTCGAATCGTGCGAGGAGCAGGAGTCGTGGATGCGCACTGCTGATGAGTCCCATATCAGGACGAAACGGCCGTCGTGCAGTGCTTCCAGGTTTCTAATGGTGGTCTAACAATGATTGAATGAAGAATATGTTATATAAAA